TTTGGTCATCAGTGCTTCTGTATCTCCTGAAGCCTGATTGGCTGTCATCCAATGTCTTGTTTTCTTCTAGAAAATTAAGTAACCTGTTGTTCACTAATCTTTTCATGGTTTTTCTAGGGCAGCTTAGGAGGCTTATGGGGCGGTAGCTGAATTTGTTTTCCTTGGGCATTTTTTTTAATTGGCTATGGGAACTATTTCTGCCTCCCTCCATTCCTTAGGAAGTAGTCCATGGGCCCAGGATTGGTTTATAATCTAAGTGTCGTTGCCTACCAGCTGGTCCCAAGTGTACTATCTTTTCGATTGTTATTCGATCAGGTCCAGGCGCCTTCCCTTACTTAAGGTTTCTTAATGTACATTCACGTTCTTGGGGACTGAAGAGTTATATCATGGTTATCTTCTTGCTTTATATTTATTTTCCCCAGTCTCGTCACTTCTTCTTCTCTCGCTCTAGACATTAGGATTTTGCTTTCCTCTGCAAAACTATCAGCCAGCAGGTTTGCTGCTTGTTTACCAATGAAAGTTTTCCCACCATCTTCAATGAAAGTGTGGGCACGACTGGCATTATTCTTCTCATGAGACTCTTTACTAGACGCCATAGCTTTTTTTCCATTTTTCTCCCTGTTGAGAGCTGCAGTCTTTTCCTGCCATCTTGTCCGGATGCATATGAGTTTTTCTCTTTTATAAATAGCCTGATGTTTATTGTGTTCTCTTACGTTGAGGTCATAAGGATCTTGTTCCATTTTTTCTCTTGCTCCAGTGTTTCTTTGGTGCAGTTGTTGCAAATGTAGAGCTTTTGATGTGAAGTGAGTACAATGTTACTTTTTATTTGGCTTTTTTTTTCTGGCGTAATTTGGGTAGTAGTTTGGCGTAAAATGACGTTTTTTTATCTGGCAACCCTGGTTTAGTGAGACAGTCTTAGTCAGTGTTGCCACTTTGGATGTTTAACATCCAGAATTAGATGTTTTTCGTTGCATTGTTTTTGACGTTTAGATGGTAGATGTTTTTCTATATGTTTTTCATTTGGAGCTAGATATTTTATAGATTATTTTTCTTTAAGCATCAGTTTAATAATTACTGTGTAAAATATTTACTACAATATTTGTGTTTTGGTCTGGCACGTACATTGTGACAATCGCGAATACTTAAACTTTGAACTCTCACTGAGGTCAACGCTCAAATATCTGGCAGCCCGGGTACTGATTAAAAGTGCGCGTAAATCACATTAACTTTGTTTCAGCCGTATCCTCACTGTGTTGACTTTTTGTTTCTTTTTCGTGTGATTTAAAAAAAAATTGCTCACCTTCATATGTGGCTATCACTTTGAAAAATCTTTCAACATGCCAAAAGTAAAGTATGAGTAACAATTTCGGAAGGAGTGGCTGCATGATGACAAACTTAACTCTTTGAGTCCCAAGGAACGCATCATACGTTCATAGATTACTGCCTAGAAGCCCAATGAACGCACGATGCGCCGATTTTATGTCTCTCTTGACTACCCCTTGGGCTTGTGATGCAAAACCCTCTGGGACTCAAAGAGTTAAAGACTAGGCGTGGCAGTTCCTGGGGATAAGACAAGGGCTCGTTGTAGGTACTGAAAGTGTTAAATTAAAGCAAAAAATACAAGACTTGAAGAGTCATACAGTGACTAAAAAGCATACAACTGCAGTTCCATTCAAATATATTACACCGCTGACATGTGTTTTCAAAACTACACTGATAAATGAATCGTCAAAAGTTGAAGGATCGGTCACAATGTTTTTAAGTTGTCATTGTGCAATTTCAAACTGACCATTTGATTGATTTGTTTAAAAACACTATTTCTGACAGTAAAGTTGTGGATGATGTTAAAATACATCGCAGCAAGTGTACACCTATTATAAGAAAAACTTTATTTTCTCACTTTGAAAAAGATTTAATCAGTGATATCTATACAAATAAATAAAGTTTATTATTAGACGAATCAAATATGTCTGTACTGAAAGTGCTTGGTGTGTGTATTATATATTACAGCAACAATACAGACAAAGTAGTTTCGATATATCTTTGACTAGTTCAGTTGGAAAAGTGTGATGCAGAAAGTATAGTTCAGGAAGTTAAGAAACTTTTAATCAGTAAACAATTAGACTTGAAGAATCTGGCTGCAATTGGTACCGATAATGCCTCGCTGATGCTTGGTATAAACAATGGCGCTTATGCCAAGTTGAAGGAAGCTATCCCATCGTTAATCCTTTTGAAATGTATGTGTCATTCATTGAAGCTAGCATTATCACGTGTTTCATTTGAATGTTTACCAAGGAATTTGGAATAACTTATTGCTGAAATACATAAATGGTTTTCCTAATCATTTTGTCAGACAACAGCAATACAGTACATTATATACAGCCTTGAATGATGGTTCCACACCACTGAAAATTATGTCAGATTGCAAAACTAGATGGTTATCAATTCAACCAGCTGTTGAAAGAATTGTGAACCAATGGTTGGAGTTGGAGACACGCTTTGAAATAACAAGACAAAGTGAAAAGTGCTACACAGCTGAAATGCTATATGGAATATACACTGATTAAAAAAAATGTGACATTATTTCTCTTTTTACAACCCATTCTAACGGAAGTGCAAAAAGTTAATAAACTGTTCGAATCTAAACATGCTGATAAATATAAATTACTTGACAATCTTAATTTTCTATTTCACTCGGTAAAAGACTTGTGTTGCCGACTTCTAAAGCTGATTTGCTCACTTGCACTATAGAGAGCTACTTGGCTCCTAAGCCATACCTTCGATATCAAATCTAATTAAAAATTGAGGACTTAAAAACAAAAGGACTATTAACAGAGAATGAAGAGAACAACTTAAGAAAACGCTGTGAAGATTTCCTTATCTCATTATTCAAGCAATTGAAGAAGAGACTTCCTGAGAATCTAGAAATTTTGAAAAATATCTCACTTTTTTTGTGTGAGCCAGTAAAGGACATACCTAAATTTTGTAAAGTTATGAAATTTGTAGTGGCTACTGATAATAGTGTCGCGGAAGCAGAATATTAGTTAATTAAAATAAACTTAGTTGAATGGACAAACAAAACATAAACTGAAGCGTTTTGGAGTGAAGTGAGACAATTTAAAGATGCCTCATCAAACAGTGCGGCGTCCGTGGCTAAGGCGTTGCGAGTCTGACTCGTAATCCAACGTACCGTGATCGAAACCTACGTGGGCTGCGTGGATTTTTATCGTGGTATGAGACATCGCAGGTCGACCCAGCCTCAAATGGGTACTAGGATGGGCTGTCCTAGGAAAGTAAAGACGGCTGGCGTAATGCTGACCACATTACCCACCGAGTGCCGATTGGTCTGTAAAAATATGAGTGCTCTTCCCATATGCCCGATGCGCCTAAGGGCGTGTAAAGGGATCTTTCCTTTTTACTTTTTACATCAAACAGTCCTTTCTGTAAGCTCTTTGAATGTGCTATGTCTGCCATGATACTACCCCACTGAAATGCTGACGTAGAAAAAGTTGTCAGTGCTATGAATTATTTAAAATCTGAACTAAGAAATAGGATGAAATTTGACCTCTTAAATGCTATCTTGACCCCCAAAAAATTCGACCTGATGAGAGTATGAAAATGCTGTTCAACTTATCAGCTCCCTGATTGTGTATTAAAAGAGATTGGAACAGCCCTAGCATACCAGAGTCATTTTGGATCTGAAGCTTCAACTTCATCAGCCAAGCTAAGTGTATTATGTGGATCTTGTGAGGCAGACATCCGTGAAGATGAGGACATGATTCTATAGGGTAAGTCATGTCAATAGTTAGGTAATTTGTGACTCTTTCCATTTGGATGTTTTTCTAGATGTTTCCCACTTAAATATAAATGTTTTTAGATATTTTTCTTTTTCCATTTGGATTTTTTTTTTTGTCAAAGAAAAGTGGCAATACTGGTCTCAGTCAGGGCTGCCAAATATGTGTTTTTACCCCCCAGATCTGAGTTTTTATTTGACGCATTGGGTTCAAATTTTGAAATCTGTATTTTTTTTTTTTTTTCAAATATGTCTTTATATAAAAGTGGGTAAAGTCTTGATAAACACAGTCTTGATAGCAACAAGTCAGAAAAAACTACAGGAAATGATTGACATTGTAGTGTTAGAAAGTGGAAGAATGGGCCTCAGTTTGAATAATGGGATAACAGAAGTAATGGTGGTATCAAAACGAATCATTCCTAAATGTGTAATAAAAGTCGATGGTGTTATTTTAGGACAAGTACAGAAGTTTAGGTATCTGGGCACATGGATAACATCAGATGTAGGATGCATAACTGAGATAAGAAACATAATAGGACAGGCAAAAACTGCATTTTATAAAATTAAAAACATCTTGTGCAATATATCCTTGCCATTGATATTTAGAAAAAGAATTCTTACCTGCTACATACATCCAGTTTTTACATATGGCTGTGAATCCTGGACAATCGGTAAGCAGGCCAAACAATTTCTAGAGACCTCAGAGATGTGGTTTTACAGAAGAATGCTTAGAATACCTTGGAAAGCCGAAAAGAGCTACAAAGAGGTTTTGAAAGAGGCGAGAGCCCGAAGACAACTTATCACAGACATCAGAAGGAGACAGTCATCATTTTTCGACCATGTTATGAGAAGAGGGAAAATAGAACACGTTGTGACCACTGGAAAGATCTGTGGAAGGAGGGATAGAGAAAGACAGCGAGAGAAGATGCTTGACAGTCTTGTTGCATGGCATGGAGGAGTGTCGGCACACGAACTGATACATGCTGCAGGAGATCGCAGATTATGGAGAGGCATGATCGCCCACGCCAGTCGGCAAGGCAGCTGATGATGATGATATGTAAAGGTTTCGTTTCGTAACTATACAATTTGTAGTTTTTAACAATCTGGTTTTTTTCTCCTTTTGTATTGCTTGGGTTTTTTTTGGTCATCAGTGTTGGGTTTTTCAAAAATTGTCCTATTGGCAGCCCTGGTCTCAGTGTCTGCCGAAATGAAAGCAGGGCAGAAACAGCAGGGAAGAGAGTTTACCGTTTCATCGGTCACAATGGGAAGTGATACTAATAATTTAGACGTCAGCAGCGTTAACCCTAGGAGTAACAGATACCCGCACTGCATTGTGTGGACGCCAATACCATGCCTAACGTAAATTTTCACCCTGGAGTTTTGTTTTGAATGATTTAATTAGTAATACTAGTACTAGTTATTGGTCACATACTCATTCTAAAATTATTTTCAAATAATGCAACTACCATAGTATAGTTGCATTTAATTTCACCTGGACAACAAATTCAACAATACCTCATTCAAACCTCAACGTCAGTTCAACTTTTAGAAATGAGTTTTAACTCTTTTAGGCCCCACAAATTTTGACAGATTTGGCCCACATTAATTTTCCTTTACAAAAATGGCACAGGGGTAGTGTACAAAATGGGCAATACATAATATAATATCTAATTCCTACAAAAGTTTTTTTTTAATTTTAAATATGATGATAAGTATGTGTTTCATACTGTTAATAGGAAAGAAGTTACAGCAGGTGTACATTTCATAACATAATTTTACAAAACCATTCTTCACTTATTATGGTTTTGCAGTCACAAGAGCAGTGAATATGATATCCAAATATTAGAATAAGTTTAAAGTTTGTTCAATTTCTTAACAAATTCCAAAGTTTATGGGTTAGTTTTCAGGAGCTCTTAACTCTTTGAGTCCCAGGGGGTTTAGTATCAGAGGCCCAAGGGGTGGTAATGCAATTTTTTTATTTCACAAGTGTAGCACATTAAAGCAGACCATACTAATTCAGTTGCTGCACAACATACACATATTATACATCAAAGTGACCAGGGATTGTTGAGGAATAATTTAGGAAGACAGCTACAACAAATAACTGTGTAGTAATCGGTATGTTTACAAAAATTAGTAAAATGAAATTTTTGAAAATTTCCACTTACCACCATGTGACCCAAGAAAAACTGTTAAAAATTCTTCAAAAATGAATCACAAATGAATATGAACCCCTTAGTAATGTATAAGTAAAATATAAACTCAATCGATACATCAGATTTTGTTCCAGATAATCTTTTAACTCTTTGAGTCCCGAGGAACGCATCATACGTTCACATGTTCCTACCTAGAAGCCCAATGAACGCATGATGCGCCGATTTTATTACTTTCTTTACCATCCCCTGGGCCTGTGTTGCTAAACCCCCTGGGACTCAAAGAGTTAAAGGATCATAACAGAGCACCATTTTTTGGTAAAGCGACTCTTAAAACAATAAGTATCTTCACACAAAATGTTTATGTAACACTCAGTTTGCCTGTAATTTTATAGCCATGTTCCTAAATAATAAGTTGAAAAACACTAGAACTAACTGACACTGAAGAAAATCGTCTTTTCACTAATGTGTATTCTATTTGTGCCAGCTGACTTTGCTATCGTTGTACCCTTTGCGTGAGGTACACATTAGACATATCCCTCATCAAAGTTTGACTCTATAATTGACTGAAACACATCTATTTCGCAACTTTATCTGTCTAACTTTGAATGAATCTAAAAAAAACATGTACTTTATTTAAATTTTAGGCTTCTAAGGTGGTAAATCATGTTGGCATCCACGTAGGATAGTGCTTGGTGGCCATATTCTTTTTGGCTATCCTCTGAATAACGGTCCTAAATTATTAAGGTGGAAAATATACCCTAACAGGGCCTCAGTCACGTGTCAATTGCGTTCTTCCGTCGTCTTAAATTGCGCACTTTCGCCACCGATGAGAGTATCCCCCACGGCGCTCACGCAGCATGGATTGGGGCTAAACTAGATGGCTGGGACTTACGAGCAGTAGCTACCACATCTCCTGCAGCTTTCTTCATTTTATTTGCTTGTGAGTCCTAGCCATCTAGTTTAGTCCCAATCCACGCCACGTGAGCGGCGTGGGGGATACTCTCAGCGGTGGCGGAAGTCACCGAAAGTTCGCAATTCGGCGGTGGGTTATAGTCCCCGGAAGTGCGCAATTGACACATGACTGAGGCCCTGTAAGGGTATATTTTCCACCTCGATAATTTAGGACCCTTATTCGGAGGATAGCCTTCTTTTTTAAACAAACACTTAGTAACTAGGCAAATCTCGCAAATATACTATATTTTTTGGCTTTCAACCCACGTGTCTAAATGAGCACGCTTGATATCAGACAAAGTACTCGGAAGGAAGTTGAAATTGGGCGGTCCGCGTGTTATTACCGGTCAGTGGTAGATTAAAAACCTTCACTTGTAACGCGTCGATTGGGCGGCACTGTTGAAACAAATTAGCGCGTGATGCATTTCCTGGGACTCAAAAAATTAATTCTCACAGAGTGCTGAGCAAAATTTCAGAGACAGAATTACAGAAAATGAGCCATTACACAAACACTATTCACTTTTTACTTTGTACAGTTATATACAGACTGTAGCTGCCCTGATTTCAATGTAGCTTAGCCATAGTATGGTACTTTCTGTTTGTTTGGAGCACTTTCCTTCTCTTACACTCTAAATACGTTAGCTATGGAACATTCTTTGTGTCATATTCATCAGAACTGCTGTATACTCTAACAGCTGACCGCTCAGCTGCCGCTGGTGAAAATTCACTGCCCGAATCACTTTATTAAAAAATTCTAAAATTTTCATTTATATCAGAATTAAAAATATCTGACTGAAACAATTTCAGAGCTTCAGCCGCAAAAAGACGCATTCTGCAACCTGTACTTGTGGTTGGAACATTGGTATCCATGGCACTCAAAAATTAATTTAGAAAATGCACTGTTGCTATCTATGAATCAGAACAATCTGCCCCCACATGTCTTGAAGCACGGAAGTTTATTCAAAGGAAGACGTTAGAGTAACCTTTCCTGAATACTTTAAAAGTAGTTCCAAACATAAGAAATGAGTATGGTGCCAATTGCGGAACAACATTTACGGGACACATGATCAACGCTGACAATGTTATTTAGGCAAATCAGAACTTCCCACTCAACACTCACAACATTGCTCAGGCCTTAAAGAATTAACTATAACTTTTTTTTCTGGTTAACAACCATATATCAGTGTGTTTATCACAATAAAACCTTACTCACAATAAAACCTAACAGTATAAACAGTTATTTACAGAATAAATAACAACAATTATTTTGCAAGTCTGATCTCTTCAAGTCCTAGGGGGTTTAGTAGCATAAGAGGCCCAATGGGTGGTAATGCAATGTTGTTTTTTCTGGGTGGAAATTTCACTGAGTACCACATTAAAACAGACCCTACTAATTTAACTGCCATGCAGCATACACATATTATAAGAACACAGTTGCTAACTCTAAATATGGACAGAGTACAATAATATCAAATGAAATTGAGTTTGGAAGATACTGATGATTGGTCAGGTTGGTTAAATGATAGCCAAGAAATGTAATGATGATTAATAGTATCACTCTCCAAGAATACCTAGTTTAACACAACAGAATTCCGTTTTTTTTTTTAGGCAAACATGGGGAATGCTGATGGTTGGTCAAGCTGGCTAAGATACACACCAAGCCACATAATGATACTTAATTGCCTAACTTATTACAAATGCCAAGTATGGCTCAAAAGTCCAACTCCCAGCAACATGACAAAGTAAAAGTGTTGGTTCATTTGTTGAACAGGATAATGTGGATGAGTGTTATGGGGGACGTGATCTGTAAAAACAACAGGCTCTAATTCAATCATGATTCCAAGGTGCAATTATCTTATATGGAACAATGCGGTCACACCCATGTATGTATAAGATTCCATGGTACTGAATATCTTTCTCTACAAAAGAAATATTAGAAAATACACAAGGCTTAGACAAGCCTCCTTGTACCTTGAATGATGCTGAATGAATGACACTAACTGGATAAGGCGCTAGGCCGCTCAGTGTGGAAGAGGAGCGACTAAGGAGGTAAATAAGGTAGTGGGTAGTTATGCGGTTATGGATATAGGTTTCCCCCCTAATAGATATGAATCACCTGAAGGTAGATCCCTAATGTAGTTAAAGTAAAGGTCCCTTTTCCATGCCATTAGGTGTATTGGAAATATAGGGCTAGACCTATATTTTTATAGACCAATCTGCATGGTGGGTGATGTGATCAGCATCACGCTGTCTGCCTTTACTTCCCAGAACTGCACCTGGTACACACTCAAGGCTGGGTCAACCTGAGAGTCAAGGTCATTTTGAAAAAAAATCTGGCTCTGTCAGGACGCGAACCCACAACCTTCCGATCCTCAGGCGGGTGTTTAGCTGCCAATGCCATGACGACTCCCCAGATCCCTAATATAACCTATTTTAAGTCTTTATTGTTGTCAGATAAAAGATTTTTCTGGTGCCTTTTTCACCATATCCACAGCCATATAATGATGTCAAACAAACCCATTTTTGTTTCTTGCACTTTATTCTCCATTTAATTTACAGATAAATGATATTTCAGTTACCTTTTTTTTTTGCACCAATCTACAGCCACACATTGATGATGTAAAACAAAATAACCACAATTTTGTTTTCTTGAAATGTTTTCTCCATTCAATTTGTAGCAAAAAAATACCAAATAAGATAAGTGTATGTTATATATTTGTGAAGTTGTGGCATTTTTATTACACACTAAAGTGAGTGGTATCTAGGAAAATGCAAGGGTTAAAAGGCTTGTTGGTAGTCAGTGGGTTAAAATTGATGATGATAATGTGTACAGGCTCTTTCATACTGCCTAACTTTTTGATGTATATAATCGGTGTATTTCATCTAGTCTTGTTTGGATATAAATGTCAGAATGCACTATTAAATCATTGGGATAAAAAGGTTGATTTTTCTGCATTCTTGACCAGTTAAGTCGTTACATAATGTTATTTTAAAATAGGCTTGTCCTCACATATAATGTCATGGAAAACAAATATAAATACCAAAAAGGCTATTGATTTAAAATATGAATTTGTTTTTTTGTATCCCCAGTCATCATTCTGCTAATTGTATGGCTTGTTTCACTTCTTTCTACCAGTGCCAGGTTTTTTACTTGATCCTGTTTCCATAAAGAGGTTAAAAAAAATTATGTAATGAGTGATCAGCCCTGTGTCCACTCCTAATCTTGAAGACCAGGGTGCTTAGTTTGGTCTGACCCTTATCAAGACCTGTTCAGCTTGGTTAAGTCCCCCTCTGGCATAGTTTTGAGAATCATGGGAGCACACAAGCTATGACAAGGCACCAGCACAGTAAAACTAAAGCAGTGAGAAATACTCAGAAAATCAGTCATTTTAACAATGAAGCAACAGAGGCTGAAAAATGTGTATATCTCAGAAGTCATAATGCCAAACATTTTTAAAAGCCTGACAAGCTGAGATTGCAACACTTATGGGGCAACAAGATTAGGATAAATGCAGAACAACTAAACTAGCGAAATATACTGCTGTGAATATAAAGAATGGTGATCAAGAATATTGACAAAGATAACATGAAATTCTTTTACATTTTTTTATTTGTAGAGAAAAAAGCATACAAACAGAATATTTAAGTGATTATATGACTTTAGAGCAGTTTTTTTCTCTAAATTTAGCTGTGAGTTATTTTAAATGGCAAAAAATAATAAACTAGAAAGTGCAGTCTAGAAACGTTATTTTCAGTCTGCACATTACACCAGTGGAGTTGTCAAAATTTTGTTTTTCTTTTTAGGTTTAGGACAGTGTTTCCTAAACTCATTTGGCCCACCACCCCCTTTTCAGTGAAAAAAATTGCCCAGCACTCTCCCTGGAAATAACATCATTATCATGTGCCACACTGAAAACATAGAGTATCAGCAGAATTTTGAATCAGGTGGTGCTTTCTTCCTGCCCCATGCATGTCCCCAAGGTAAAAGTTAATGGACAGAACATTTAAGAATCAAAGATCAATGGCTTTGTTCATTATTCATTTGTTAATTATTATCTTTTTATAATTACAAGTAATTCTTATTTGTATTAATAATTCTGCATTGATGTTTTATTATTTTGCATTAACATTTAGATGGCTGTTTCCAATTATCGGGCACATGGGCATTTGTACATCTGCTGGAGTTATCAGAGATTTTGCTGGACCATATTTTGTCTCAGTGAGTTTTTTTTTTTTTTTAGATTACTGAAGTTGTTTGCATATTTAAACTTATAATTAAATACACAGACACCTCCCCCCCCCCTTCCCCACACACACACACACACGCACGCACGCGAGGCAATGTTTCTATTTTTATTTACATATATTTTTAAAATCACAGAATTGTGACATTAGTAGAATTTTCCAAGATATTTTTCTCAATGTTGTATTTAAATATATCTTCAATCACTCTAACTTCAGTTTCTTTCTCTTTCTGTCTCCAAGGCTTTTCAACATGGTTAAGTCCTAAGAATAGTCTGTTCAGTTCTTTCAGGCCCAAGCAACACAGTGTGTGTTGATTGAGAGCTCCAATTTGACAAACTACATAGTTTGCGTTGATCGCGTGTGTTCCCGCACATATTGATTCACATACTGTTCTGTACTAGTTTTTTTAAATATTTGAAACTGTATTTAGAATATCGGGGAAGGTTACTCTAGCAGTTTTGTTTGCTTAGAAGTACTTGTGTATATATGTAGGTTGCTAAACGGTCAGCTGTTGCTGAGCAGTCAGCTGTTGGAGAATGTAGCAGTTTTGGTGAGTCTGACACACATGACTCATTTCATTAGCAAAGAATGTTAAAAGTCACCCATATTTGCATCCAAAGGACTGTTTCAAACAGTACCATACTATGGCTAATCTGCATTGAGATCATTGCAGCTTCAGTCTGTATATAACTACAAAATTAAAAACAATTTGTGTATAGGTCCATTTTTCTGTCATTTTTTTGTTTAAAAATTGTTCAGCACCCTATAAAATCTAGTGCCTCTGGGTGATAAACTAACCCAGAAACTTATCATAACTTTTTAATTTGTTAAGAAATTTAATAAACTTTAAAATATTATTCTCAAACTTGGATATTCAGTGCCTTTGTGACTACAAAACCAAGGTCAGTGAAGAATTATTTTACACAAATGTGTCTTTGTTAGCAAAAAATTTTGTTTCCTGCTAAATATAGCAGCATGAAACATTGACATATCATTGAAATTCAAAAGGTGTGTTAATTCCTCTTTTTAAAAGAAATATACTTGTTTAGGGAATAGAAATTTATTACATTCTCTTTGCTTTTAATTTACATTTTTTGTAAAGGGAAATTAATGCGATCCAAGCATTAAAATGCATGGGCATGAAAGAGTTAACATATGGATTATGGAACATAAGCTTATGTCAATAGAAAACTTGCTGGATATTGATAGCTTTAGAGAACTACAAGGAAGAATTAAACAGTACATTACAAGAACAAAGATTTGCATGTGTAGTGTTAGTATATCTTAAGACAAAATAATAATATTCCAGATTACTTTAAATATTCTCAAAGATAGATTAAACAAAATGATTATCATAATTATTTTTAAAAAGGACACTTAATATATATTTTCAACTTGAGAATCTTTGCTTCTACAGTCATTTACAATAAATACATAATACACTGTTAAATAGTATTGAAAAGAAAAAAATATACATTATTGAAGTAGGAAAAAACATTTTTCCTAGCCATTTCAGTCTATTAGCCCTCACAGTGCCAGTGATCAGTGGTAATTTAGACAGTTTTTTAATTTTATTGTTGCTTCTCACCCTCTGTTGCACACTGTTTGCATCTGTAATGTATCTCTTAATGTATCTGTAGTGTATATGACAGTCGACGAAGGCTGACAGCTGTTCACAGGTTTATTGTCAATACAACACAAGCAACAAGAATCAACATTAAAGCCAAACACTTATGCCATTCGGGAAGGTCCCCTTGCTCACACTCTAAGTCTACAGCCACGCTTCAGACGATGGACACTAGCATGTACACGACTGACACAACCAATGGGTCATAGAACACAACTGTTGTCCTCAACTGTAATTCAACACGGCTTTCCTCCTTGCCACTGAGGACTGACGTTCATTCGGGTTCCATCCAAATCCACGTTCATACCTATTACACTGGATCCAGTCTCCCGTCCTTTCAGTCTGTGGTCCGGTCACAGATTGACCAGTTATTCTCGCCCCCCCCCCTCCCCCACCCCCTTTACCTTGTGTTGCCCATGCAAACTCACCATATCTCGTGTTCTTCCTTTCCCGCGCTAACCTCGTGCCTTGCAACATGGAAACTTCCCTAATTCTAGTAACCAGTCAGACCTCTTATTATATTCCTAAATTTAGCACCGTTACAGCATCTTGGATGTGTACAAAGATGTGCCCTAAGATTATGTTCTCAACAGTTTGAAATGAGGACTCATGTCTTTTAGTTGAGCTCCAGTTATTAGAGCCATATAAGATAACTGATCAGTTTTTTTTTATGTATTGTGTTGTTGGTGTCTTCAAGATGGAGCATTTCATTTTAGCAGGTGTTGTAGGGCATAGTATTCTTTATTTTCAGATTGTATTTCTTCTCTTAGTATGTTTGAGCAGTTAAAGTTTGTACTCAAATTCTTTTATGTTTCTGTTCATTTGATTTTATAATTATCTATTATGTGGGGACAAAGTTTTTATCCTTTCCCTCTCTTGTTATTACCATGATTTATGTATCTTGATTGATAACTAGTCCCATCTGTTGATCTGCTTCCTTAAAGAGAGCCACTGTTTTTACTATCTCCAGTTCCTTTCTCCAGCTATACCTATGACGTCCATATAGCCAAGTAATTCATAGTTTCTCATATAATTTTCTCTAGGGCCAAGTTGAAAAGAAGTGGGGACAGGGCAGCACTAGGCTTTCAACCAGTAGTTATTTGAAAGGGGTCTGATTTGCTGCCTTTTTATGTTGCTGTAATTCTTTCATACGTAGTCTGGTCAGATTGATTGGTTGTATTCTTTGGTAATCGAAAAATCATGCGCAGCATTCCACAAACTTTCTATGTACACTATTATATGCCTTTTAAAAATCCACAAAAACATTGAGTACATATTTCTGTGTTCTCAGTTTTTCTCCAGTGTTTGTCTTAATATTTTCTCTACTTCTACTTCTGATCTACTTCCTCTTCTAATCTATGTTTCTTCTTCTTATCTCTGTTTGTACTTCTGAACTCTACTTCTAAAATATTCAGATCCATATTTTAGCTGCCACAAAGTATTTACCCAATGTGCCACATCCATATGTTTGCCTCCAACATGAGACAATTCCCTTATGATATAGGGTTTGCACATGCCATGTACCAAAACTTTGAGACATAACTAACTTTTTTTCACTAAGGTATTGTCAGATTACACCCTTTGAAAAGAATTTGAAATTGTTCATTCTTTTATTTGTTGTCACATTTCTGGTATGTTATGGCATTGCAATCAATATCTTTGCACAGTGGGCATTCCTCTGCATGCGCAGTCATCCAATGCAGTAGCCACTCCAAGTTACCTTCAGTGATTGATCTCATGAGAAGTTGGTTGTAGAATCTCCTGTCTTGGCCTAGAAGACGGCAGAGATGCGCTTCACCAAACTAAACTCTCAGGTTATGCAATCGTGTTAGCGTCGGAGATTGATAATTATCTCACAGCCAGTCTGTATAGCATTGATAATATCAGCCCTGTCCATGCTTCTTCCCATTTGCATTGGTAAATTGTTTGCCAGCTGGTCAGATCTTTTGTTGCCTTTAACTCCTGCATGCCCAGATGATGGAGGTTCGCTGTGACTTCCCAATGCTTTCTACCCATTCGGAGCATAAATTACATGTTGCAATTTTCTGAAGGATGTTCTTGTACCTGAAACGATTACCCCATACATAGCTGCTTGTTCTACTACCCAGGTAAGTGCTCTGGAAGCAGCGGTTATCTCCATGGTCAAACTTAACGTAGTTGTCTGGTAAGTGCCACCATCCTCTTTTATTGTTTTTCCCATCCTTTGAGTTGTGTATACCCAGCTGATCTTGACCGGCATTTTACGGACCCATTGGTATAAATGACAGTCTCTTAGGTGTGAATGCTGATCAGTCCCTTATCTCAGCGTCGACAATGGCAGGTATCTGATTTTTGCAGTGCCTGCCCAGTGTTATGATAGCCTTAAATAAGTCATGCATGTCTACTGGTGTATTCATCCATTCTGACTTCCGGTTAAAATGGACGCTAGGCAGCGGCACTGTTCGAAGCAGAGGAACAATTTTTTGCTTCTGCCGGACGGTGGCTAATGCATTCTTGCTCCATTTGTAGACTGGATATAGTTTCGTCGCCCAGCTTCTGAGTTGAATGCATGGCGTGACACTTTGAGCTGCGGATTGCAATTGGAATGTTTTTTCGACTGTGATCAACGTGGTGGTGTGAATTGTAGGTTCAGAAAATGGCGCGATGCTTGTCGTGCAATGTTGGCGGTGCCCGTATGTGATTAAAATTGATCGCATGGGCAACTGCTGATCTGTTGGCGACAAGTTCTGCTATCATCAATGATGAACTGCATTTCTAATGTTTGACTGTTTGTGTTAGGACTTCGGATGGCTACAGTATGCTTTAATGTGAATGTATGCTAGGTATGCTGAGACAGAAGTCTGTCAATCTTTCCACAAGGGACTGTGATAAACATTCTGTGTGTTTTTTGTTGGCACAGGAGCGGAGCAAAGATGGGGTGACCGGTTTGCTATGAAGCTGAAACTAAGACTACCAGACTACCATCCATTTTAGGTCACATAGTTGCTGGATTAGTTTTTCTGCCTCAGCCGTCCAGGAGGTGTCTAATTTGAGATGCATCCCTTTTATATAATTGATGGCTTTGTAAAGGGGGTGGTTGATGCCTGCTGATATTCACATGTATGCCTTTACCTGTGCCACTTTATGTCTGGTGGCCATCGTATAAAAAACCCCAAACATATTGCATGGCGTGGCACTGGGTGTCTTTTGTGCTGCCGAGTACGAGTCTCATGGCCTTATTTTGTACCCGGTCCAGTATTTCTAGCTGGGTTCTGCTGAAGGAGGCCCTGACCATAGTCTTTAACACTTAATTGTTATGTGTGAAAGCGCTTATGGAGAAGGAAGTCTGTCCTTGGTTGGTGAACTGGATAGCAGCTGTTTTGTAAACTCGCCGGGTAGCTCTCCGCCTGAGTTTATGGACCTCTGAACCATGTATTATAGCTTCAAGACTACCACAGGGATCTGCAATTTCACTTGTGCTGTTCAGTGTGTTTACGAGCAAGATTGTGGAACTGGAAACACCTGGAGTTGGTAGAATATTGACATTTGCAGATGATGTTCTTATTTATTGGAAAGGGGGAGAGATCGCAAATATCTAAAGAATTATAGGCGTCAGTAGATGAGGTTGATCGACTGGTGTACAGAGATGAGTGCTGCAATCAACCCAGAAAAGGCTACCGTCCTGTGGTGTTCTTTTGACAATAGGATTGTTAGAGCGAATGTTCCCAGACTCTAAATAAATGTCAGGGACATCAAAAGAGACAACAGACTGCAGTTCCTGGGTATCACCTTTGACAGAAGTTTTGTCTTTCAAGGATCACATAGAGGGGATTGTAACAAAGGCTCCAAACGGTCTTAATGCACTAAAGATTATGGCAGCAATAGACATGGAGCAGAGAATGTTGTTCAAACTTTACCAGCACTTAATCATCTGAGTGATTGATTATGGACTGTGTTTACTCACTATCTCGAAGAGTCAGCTAGAGAAACTGGAGTGCATACAGAATGAAGCCATGCGGATGATCCTGGGATGTACAAGAGACCCCCGATAGTGTGCATTCAATACATCCTTGCATTGCCGACTATTGCAGATAGGCTAAAAGTACTGCAGGCTAAGTCATACTTCAGAGTAGCTGCAGATAGGGAACACCCTCTGTATGAAGCTTTGGCTGCAGGCAAGGGTCAGAGGCTGAAAAGGGGAAAATTGTGGAAGGCTCAAGCAGAAGACACAAAAAGACAAGTATGCATGACGGAGAACATTAGGCAATGAGAGGAGTGGGTCAGAGTACCAGAGGAAAAGTCTGACCTGTGTAGGGTTATGATCACATTGGGCTGGGAGTGCAGAGAGTGGCCGGTGGGTGCTACGGAGGTGGAAGTCCGACAGTTGCTTTAGGACAATTCACGCCCAGGGGATCTGACTATCTACACAGATGGTTCGGTGATGAGAGGAAAGAGAAATGCCTGCGGGTTCGTAGCAAAAGCTAATGGAAAATCTTTGGTGCAAGACAGCCTAGCATACATTACAACATCTAGCATGAGAATGGAGGTGGAGGCGGTAACTGCAGCTCTCTAGTGGCTAGAGAACAAGATAATACACAGGTCGTAATTGTAACAGACTCTGAAAGCATGTTGAGAAAGGTGAAGACAGGGATGCTTTGAGCAGAGTGGCAAGCTTTACTAGGAAGGTCATGGGTAGTGAGCATACTTTGGATCTTTTCTCCAGGCTATGCCAGAGTAGTGAGTAATGAACAGTCAGACAGATTGGCTGGATCTGCACCACTGGGTAGTGAATTGATACATGACAAGGCAGATGTGGTCAAGGCCCTTTGGGAACAAGCAACAGAATCAGTAGAGAAAGAAGAATACTATAGCCTGGAGAGAATGAGGTACTTGGGTCTAACCAAAGGGTCTGGCTGGCTCACTACACTCGGAGGAAATATAATCAGATTGTGACTGGTACCATCGGTATTGGAACTCTGCGCTGGCTACTGAGTATGAGGAGGGAGCTTGCATGGGAATGCCCAGAGTGCTGGGATGTCAATCCTTGACTCAGCTCATCTCAACTTGATATGATGTGCATACACCATGATCCCTCACGGCCTGCCTTGTTTACCCCAAAGGAAAGGTAACACCAATACACCTGAAACGAAGCACACTGCAGAAGCTTCCAAATAAGAAGATATGCTCCTGTCTGCCTGTCGGAGCTTCCTTCCTAAACCAGCTGCTCAGGAGCTAGCTACCTTTCGGGCATTATATGCCTTTATTTGCCGTTCAGCCTTGAACTTGATGTTGATGACTGTTTTACTCAACATTGTAGATCTGTTGATCAGCATAGATTCTTTCTCCCTGTTCGCAAGCCCTGTCTTTTGTCCAAGGATAGAAATTCCTTGTTTGCCTAATCAAATGTAGATACAGTTTAAATTAACGTGTGGAGCAGTGTAGTAATTCACTAGATGAGATATATTGAAACATCATCCTTTACAGAATGTTGCTCCTATCACAACCCACCAGACAGAAATGTGTTTTTTTGCTGGCTCTTCTGCCTCATGCACTCTCTTGCAGCTTCTTTTCTCTTCCTATATTTAAATTATAATTTTTGTATTTTTTTCCAGGAAGATGATATGGCCTTTGGAAATCCTGTAAAGTAAGAGCATGCATTTTTTAAATTTGTTGCCTTACATTTTAAAGATAGTTTATTTTCTGGATAAAAAAAATTTATTGGTTGTTGCATTTATTATGAATATGTGCATTGAATGTGCTTGCACATTTCAGAATCTAGCAAATAAAATAGATCCATTATAAAGAATTAGTAATAATTATTAAAAAAAATTTTTATATTATAAAGTATTTGTAGATTTACTTGAAACAGTACATAGTGTAAATGTCTTGTTTACTGTAATCACAGATACTGGCAGATGGATTTGGCCAAAGCCAAAAATGGTAAAGAATCATGGGACAGAGCTGTAGCAGATGCTTCAGAAGAATATAAACACAGAATGGTACTTTTCCTAATTTTTTTTTTGAATTGCATGCTTGTCAAATTTTTTTTTTAACAGCTTGCAATAAAGTTCAGAAGCCTTATCCGTTACTTGTATAAAGAGCATTCATATAAAACCTGTTCCAATGGCTTTATACAAAAGCAGGAAAGGAACATCAAACGGTTATGCAAAGCATTAAATTAATTATGCACCATGAATTGGTCAGAAAAAGTTGTTAAGGGCATTCAGGCTAGCATCCCGTTGATTAGGTAGGCATGGAATGCCGTTCGCAAAATGAAGGTTGTGACTGCCTACTGTACTCACTGTTTACAGTGTTAATTACGTTTGCATTTGTGTGAAATTATTGCCCCTTGATAGTTTTTTTTTAAAGAGATCTGAACAAAGGATAATTACATGCTGACGAATCAGGACTGTAGACGGGATGTTGCAGAATTTTCGCACCTCTTTCTGCGCATCTTTGCGACATGTGGATAGGCATTATCATGTGACAAAATCGCACCTTTTGGTGTCAGTTGTCCTAAGTTGTCCACTGAGGAGATGATTACCCTTCTTATTTTAAGAATACGGTTCGCACCACACATAGTAGGTTACAGTCTGTTGGTGGCTCATGTTTTGCCCATTAGGGGTGAACCCGGATACTTTGAATAAAACCAACAGACACCACCCCCTGAGAAGAGAAAGAAAGAGAAAGAACTTTGCTTCCTTGACATAGAAAGCACTGGATTGAGTTATACAAACACTAGACCTCTGGCTCCATCACAAATGATCATCAGCATACATGGCAGGATAATGTAAATGCCCAGTGTCAGCTCCAGAATTATTGATAATGGAGCTGGTAATTTCTGAATTTCATAAATTCCACAGAGAATTAAAAAAAAATAGGGTCACCTATTTGGCATATAATGGGGAAGAGTCCGGAAAAAGATCAAGGATGTCAGCTTCTAACAATGACAGTAGTGGCTGATGTTGGAATTGATGAGGTGCTGAACTTGAAATAGTATTAAGCATTATTTGTGCAATCTCCTTGATGTATGAAATGGAAGTTTTCCTGAGGATTATCAGGTACACTCCACCTCTTTCATCTCATCTTCCACTAGGCAGATAAATTGCAGAAAAAAAAAATATATTGTAGGATTTTTACAGGCATTGTTAATGGCTTCCAGACAGGGGTCATGACTTTAATGTTGATCTTAGGCAGTCTGCAAAAATATAAAAGCCACAGCTGCAGCAGAAAACAGGTATATTTCTTTGTAGTAGAAATTCCTTTCATGGATACAAAGACACATAGGGAAGAGCAGTACAGGGTTTGTTCAGAAAGGGTTCTTGGATTCCCATGCTTGCAGCGGAGTTAACACAGTATTCATCCACCTTTGCAGATGAGTGTAGGTATGCCAGGATTCATCAGCTGACTTTTAGATATAGTAAGCCTTCCAAGTCTGTAATCTGTCGCTGAGAGGCTCACCTTCTGGAACATTGGGAATAGCATTCTTTGTTTCATATCTATTGCTGCCATAATCTTGAGTGCATTTAATCCTTTTTGACATTTTGCCTTAACTGCTTCCACATGGTCCCTGAAGGAAGGCTCTATCAAAAGTGGTACCCACGTCCCTCACTTTGCTTTTTTTTTTTATGTTTCTATTATTGCTTGGGACATCAGTTCTTACAGTGCTGGGAGCAGCATGAAATGGTCACTTTTCCTGGGTTGATGATGGCACCATCTCTTCACACCAGTCAAATACTTTGTCTGCAGTTGCCTGTAATTCAAATATTCTGCTGACTCTCGCTTCCCTGCCTGTATGCAAGAGCATCGTCTGCAAATGTCAGTATCTTTCTAACCGATGATACTTCAAGTTCTGTAATCTTGCTTGTTCATGAAAAGGGAAAAACTAGAATATGTCGTCACTACAGGAAAGTTTAAAGGGAAAAAGAGCCATATGAATGCCCATGCACTTTTTGTGTCCTCATGTAAAAATTAAGCATATTGAGGCAATGACAAGATAAAGATAGATGTCTAGATGGCTTAACTGAAAGGTCATGTGAACATGAGGCAATGGCTGACAGTTTGGCTCATGGTGTGGAATTAAATCTTTATCAGAAATGATTGACAATACACAAAACAGAATTGGCAGATATAATGGCAAATGCCACACAGCAAACTATAAAAAATTAATAAAGCAGACTTGATTACAACAACAAAAAAGAAAGAAAGAAATTGAGGAAAGACAATTTACATTTAAAATACTAAGAGTAGAAAATAGAAAATCCTGGACTTCGAAGCAGCATCTGACCAGACACTTTGGCAGACCTTCCGAATGTCCCAAGTACTTCAGGAGATTACGATGATGCTGAAACCATATTTTTAGGTTTCCTTTTCATTTCTCATCCTGATGTTCATGACTAAATTCAGGTGAATCTGGATGTAGCAAGCTACACACAAAGCTCAGAGGAAAACATACATTGCCACTGCTGAATGCACTTGGGAACAACACCACCACTTTAGCATCTGATGAAGAATGAATTGCAAACCTAAGAAATCAATGAATTTGTGGATCTAGAAAAGAAGGTGTGGCAACAGTATTCATGGTGGCAGGCCAGAAAATCCATACAAAAATTGAGGAGCCTGTCAAAAGCCTTGGACTTGTGTATGAGACCTAAATGACAGGCAGGTGTACAGTTCAATGGATACAGGAGCAGTGGAAAATAGACATCAGAGTTTAAGATCTGGTCCTTCTAATTCATGTTAATCCCCAGACTTTAATGGCTTTTGCTTTCCTGTGAGCACAGTAGTCAGTCTCATAGGAAAGAAGATCAACAAAGCCATGAGGAAATAGTCTAGGGCATCACCAGATTTATTCGATGTCATAGTGCACTGCAAGAAGCTGACTCTACACAACACACTAAGGATGGATGGAAATGGACAGCTGATCATCAAAAGTTTCATTTAGGGAACACAGAGATGTAGTGGTGCAGGAGGTCTGTGATGCAGAAAGCACAAGAAAGCTGACAAACTTCCACAGTTTTAACAGGATCAGTGAGTATGTTGAGGAGCCCAGCAATGGTCTTTGACATGGAATGATATATGGCACTGCTGTGGCTGGATTTCATTGTCATATGAGTAAATGATATCTTCCATCAGTGCCCAGATGAGAAATGTCTCATAACTGCCTATTCTCTTTATAGAGAGAAGCATGAACACTTGAACATGAACTGTCCATATGAAGTATATCCCTTGAACAAAACCAATTCATTTAGTGGCACAACAAAGTTCTCACTGAATTGGATTGGATGTAGCAAAGCTGCATGCAAACAAGGAAGTCAAGTTGAGAGTTGAACTAAAGAACTTCGTTCCAATTTACATTTCCCGGCCCAGACATAGCGTAATTGGGCTTTCATTCATGCTTTGTTTATGTTAGAGGGGTGTCAACTTGTCTGGTGTTCGGGAAGAGGTTTATGTATTGTGCGTATATAGGCAGAAAACTATGCAGTATGTTTTACTGGCTGCTGGAAACAAGCGACAAGATTGCGTATTTTACAGACTGAATTTAGGTCAGCTGCCAGCGTTGACGAGCGACGAGAAGGAGAGAGGTACTTTTCTTTATGAAAACAGGTGGCCAGGGGGGGGGGGGGGGGCAGAAAACGTTAACAACCACAATGCTGAAGCCTTGGGCCATACTCTGGACTCTCTTGCAGGACTTAGGCTGAATCTGAGGCCTCAAGAAATTGTTTGGCCTGCCTAGCAATTGTCCAGGACTCACAGCCATATGTTAAAACTGGATGTATGTGGCAAGCAAGAATTCTTTTTCTTACCCTCAATGACAAAGATATATTGCATAAGATGTTCTTCATTTTATAAAATGCAGTTTTTGCTTGTCCAATTCTGTTTCTTATCTCAGTAATACATCTTCTGTCTGATGTTATCCATGTGCCCAGATACTTAAATTTCTGTACTTGTCCCAAAATAACACCATCGACTTTTATTACACATTTAGGAATAATTCTTTTCTTTGATACCACCATTACTTCTTTCATCCTATTATTCAAACTGAGGCCCTTTCTAATACCACAATGTCAGTCATTTCCTGTAGTTCTTTCTGACTTGTTGCTATCAAGACTGTGTCATCAGCATAATGTAAATTGTTTATATTGTGCCCACCAACCACAATTCCGGGCATATCAATTAAAGATCTCATTATGTATTCACTGTATAGTGAAAATGAACCAGGTGACAGTACACATTCTTGTCATACACCACTCTTTATGATCTGAAATGTACCTAAACATTTGTTAATTCTTATTGCTGCTGTTTGCTGCCAATACATATTCTTTATTATTCATAGATCGTTAAATGTTAAATTTTTCTAGCAGTTTGAATACAACGAAATCACCGAAAACTCTAGACACAAAATTAGACAGTTTTGAAAATAAATGCCTTAGAAGAATACTAAATTTCAAATGGTCAGATTTCCGAACCAATACACAAATAAGACAAGAATCCAGGCAAGAGTATGTGTCTAATTTTATACGAAAACGCCGCTGGAACTATGTCGGCCACGCCCTTAGAATGGATAAATCAAGACTTCCTTACCAAGCCCTCATTTGGACACCACAGGGGAAAAGATCTCGTGGAAGACCAAGGGAAACCCTACGTAGAACTATCATCAGGGAAGGCTCGCTCATGGGCCACTCAAACATCCAAGACCTACAACGGATTGCAACGGACCGCCGTGCATGGAGAGTCATGACCTCTGCCCTATGTGCCGCACTCGACACAAGAGGAAAGACTAACTAACTAACTAAGTTTGAATACTTCATGTTTTACACAGTCAAATGCTTTTATGAAGCATAAGTACAAAATCAGTCTTTACTTCTATAGCTCTTTCTGACAATGTCCTTAGGATGTATATGGCATTGTTTGTACCTTTTCTTTCTACAAATCCACATTGTTCATCGCTGATTTCTCGTTGAATTTTTTTTTCTCATTCTTCTCATAATTATTCTCAGTAAAATCTTAGTAGTGTGACTCATAAGACTTATTGTGTCATGGTCTTCACATTTTAAAGTGCCTGGTTTCTTTGGCAGAGCTATAAATATGAATTTTAAAAGTTCATTTGGAATATACCCACTATTATAAATATCATTTAAAAGTTTAGTTATTATTTCAATTCCAAAATCTCCCAGTGCTTCAATTTCTTTCAGTGAGATGTTGTCTGGCCCGGGTGCTTTTCCTTTCTTCATATGATGTATTGCATCCTCAACTTCTGCAGTCATTATTGGTGGACCATCATTGTTGGTCTGCAGCTCTACATCTGGTCTGTTATCATCATACAATTCCCCTATATACTCTGTCCATCTGTTAATTATATTACTGTATCCCATTAATAAGTAGCCATCTTTTGATTATAAACATCCAGTACTGGTAAGTGTCATCTTTCCTGTTAACATATTTATCTATTAGTATATAGAATGTGAGTCTTTCCTGTAATTTTCCCTAACCTCTGTACACATTTGATTCAGCCAGGCTTCTTTAGCCACTTTGCATTTGTTCACTATTTCTTTTTGTATGAGTATTCGCTTTATCATTCTTTTCTTTCTTCTTTCATCCATGAACTACAGAATTTCGGTTGACATCCGTTTCTTTTTTTTTGCAAATCTATGGGTTGGTGGGATTGTCTCTTTTGATGTCTGCTTAATTGACTCATGACTCACGCAACATATCCCACTGTTCATCAATAGTCTGTATAATTTCCATTTCATTTTGCCAATTAAGTACAGTGACATTGTACTGTTCCTTAATTTCTTTATCCCTTCTAAGTATTGCTAAATTTAACTTGATGTTTTGTGGTGTTCTCTTAATATTCTTTGTTTTATTCTAATCTTTCCTATAATTGGAACATGGTCACTAAAGCAGTCTGCTCCTGGTCTAGTCTTTGCTCCAACTAAGCTGCTCTGGAATCTTCTTGAAATCAAAATATATAATCAATCTGATTATCATGCCTAAATGTACGTAAAAAAGGGTTTTTATATACCAGCTTTTGGTTTTATGCAACTTTTTACTTCAGGCATATAAACACTTGCAGACCTTCATGAAATGTTAGCTGATTCTATTTTTTCTTAGACAAAATTATTAAAAACCTTTTAAGCTGTATTACAGTTTTAAATTTTTTTTTTACTTTTACTGTTTCTCATTTACTTGTATGTGTTATTTCATGTTTTGCAGAATATTTCAATGTTGGTTTTACAGTAACACTTTCTTATAGAAAAGATTCTACATTCTGTTTGTTTTTACATATTTTCAGCACAATCTTTTTTGTGACAACTGTCATTCCCATGTGGCAATGGCATTAAACCTGATGAACTACAGTGGTAGTTCCAGTTGGAACATGGTCAAGCTTTGTTTTTTTATGTTAATTTATGGAAAATATATTAAGTAAGTATATTTTTATAATTTTACAGGTTTTGTTTTTTGTTTGTGTGCATATGCAGAGTTTTATATAGAGAATAAGAGATGGCAAATGCAGTGGTTCAGGCATCTTATTATAATGTTATCTGGATGCATTTTGTAATAATGCAACAGATGGTTGCAATGTGTCGTTGTCTAGGTGATGATGTGTCTAGTGAATGCTCTTAGCCCACATTCTTTACGAAGACATAACCGGGACAAGCCGACACCGACTTCGAAGTATGAAACATTTTACAGCTTGACATTAATCAGACTCCAATATGCTGGTTTCTCACACAATCTTGACCAGAGCAATGGTGCACAACACAGCTTCTTTATCTTATATGAAGTTGGAATTGTTAATATTTTAATATTTATTTAATAAAATAAAACCATGACTACGTGGCTAGATCCGATAGAAGAGTTTAGAACCACTGTTATCATATAAACCATATCACTTGGATAGATTTAATTTCCAGCATAAACAAGTGATGTAAGAAGCTCTTACCCACACACACAGAAAATGTAGTATGCCTACTCCCTACTGAGAGGACATGTGTTCTCGAGCTCTCACTATTTGGATTTATTATTCGACTTGTGTTTGTGGGGGAAATATGATTTTTTTATCACTGTAGCCGTTATTCTGTCAGTGGTGCAGTAAGATATTGTGTTGTGCCTTTATATATCATCACGTGATGAAATTGTCAATTTCTTAAAATAAAGAACTGAACAAGCAATTGTAGACTGTACTGAAATAACAGGTATGGCGTTACAATGGGCGTATCTCTGCACTGAAATTTATCACTGATCCCCGATACGAACTTGCTATCCTGCAAACAATTAAAAGGAAGAATGTGACAAGCTGAGACACAAAATAGGCACATTCCACAGAGGGATCTAAAATCAGACATTCAGTCGCAATACGTTTCAGCCAGCAGCAAACACAATGATAGAAATTCAAAGCCTTTCTGCATTCTCAGTGAAGCTGATTGTTCTGACCCTATTACCTCTTTCTGGCCCAGACGGGTGCGGCAGTAGAATAATAAATAAATGCCTCTGACGTAGCTCAGTTAGCTTACCTGTGAAATAGAAACATCAACAGTAGAGCAGTTTAGAACAGTTAACAAATAAATACAGTAGTGTAGACAGACATCTCTACATCCTGTCTAGAGAAATTAGTGAACACTTTATAATTTTGCTTCGACAATGATGGAGTTAACGACTCAACCTGATAGGGACGGTATCCATAGAGCCGTAAGTGTTCCCGACTGAGAACACTAGTCCCTCGGCACCCATTCAAATTCCACACGGTCCAACACCATGACAATCAGTTAAGGACGGTTACCAGTGGTAATACGAAGCCGGTTTGAGGTCGCGTGACGTCACACAGTCAGCTACAAGGTTATCATCTGTAACATGAAACTGGTCGAAAGACATTCCACCAAGCCATCAGAGGAAGGACTTTATTTTCTGGACCTACTATGATCCCGATACACAACAGTTTAAGGTTATTTGATGAACTCGATCTTCGCTGGAGCTACAGAGTTTGTGCATCCATGCTAAGATCTGATGCAGCAGCATCTACAAGGTACAGAAGGAGAAGAGGACAATGTGGTAGAAGACAATGCAATAGACGTGCTGGTGCATGCAAAAACCAATCTAAATCAGAACACCTTAGCTAGGGAAATTTTTGCATTCTATGCTGGAACTGCAGGAGCGTTCGACAGAGAGGCCCAATCTTGGAGAAACTGATATATGATGCTGATAAAATCGCGTTTCAGGAGACCTTGCTGAATACAGAGGAAGCTCTGAATGTCTCAGGCTTCCAAATGTACTACAACAGCAAACACCTAGGCCAAGCAATCCTGGTCAGGCGCGGAATAACATCCTCAGTTGTAGACACGAGTGCATGGAACAACAGCAAAATTCAGGTGCAGGCTGTAAGGGAAGACGGAAGTAAACCTTTCACGCTAATTAACATCTATGCCTGTAATGATAAAGTTGACAAAGAAAAGTGGACAATGTGACATGTGTGAGCAGATAACCACAGTCATCATCATGTGTGGTGACTTCAATGCCAAAGGCCGTCTATGGGGCAATCCGGCGGTCAATAAACAGGGCGAGGCATTCGAGGAGCACTAACAGACATGGATTTATTCTGCTTGAATGATGGCAGACCCACCGGAATCCGTGTCAGAGAAGGTGATTCTGACAGTGCCCTCGATCTCACGCTGGTCTCTCTCAGTATGAGTGCACTCTGCCAGTGGGACGTACTGGGACATCATGGAAGTGACTACGTTCCATGTTGGATTCTGGTCAAAAAAAACAATCTGCACAAGGTGTAAGAGACTAGATACTATTTTCCAGTACGCTGCACATCAGCCTAATGTAATTGGGCGTCTGCGAGACAGGTCACGCAGAACACCGGTAAAAAAGAAAGCTATCTTTCAACAACCCCTGTGGTGGACACCTGAAGTCGCAGAAGCCTGGACAGAGAAATGAGATGCCACCAAAGACTGGGAGAAATACAGAAAGTCTTTGAATTTTCCTGAGGCTCAGAAACAAAACATTAAACACAAAAAAGACAGACTCACTGAACATTTTAAACAACTCGCAAAGGAGACTAAGCACACAATGTGGGAACGTTTTTTGCCAAGAAATAGGTTACAAAAAATCCCTCAGAAAATTATGGTGGCTCCACCAAAAGATGAACAGAGGCAAACAAATCTCTGATATGCCCGAGCTAAAGATGGACAACGGGGTGGTGTTACAGTCTGATGAAGGCGAGGCTATCCTGCATAGATTTATCTTGCAGACGGAAAAGACAGATAGGGAAGAGAGGGAGCAGATGAAACAGAGTTTTCACGATACCCACATGGCTGAATAGGAGGAAGACGATGATATGGTATACATCTCAACTGACTGGGTCAAAGCAACACTGAAGACCTGTCCAGACACAGCTCCAGGGCCTGATGGCATTAGATACAACAACTTCAAAAGCCTTGAGGAGACAGATATGGATGAACTATCCACGATATTGAACAACACCATGAAAACTGGCATTATCCGTGATTACTGGCTCCGCAGCTACCTCAGACTGGTTCCTAAGCCAGGGAAAGACCACATGAGAATAAATGGTTACAGAATCATCAAACTTCAGAACACTATTGGAAAAACTCATGTGAAAAACTCATAGTCAGAACGTTGACCCAAACATTGGAGTCAGGTGGCCTATTCCCCACTACACTAGGTGGTTACCAACCGGGAAGAGATGAACATGGTGCAGTGCTGCAGTATTTGCCAACGAAACATGTTAGGGTTTCCAGGAGGGAATGGAAACAGGCTGCAGCCGCTATTGACTGAGAAGATGCGTACAACAGCGTCCCATACATCATGATCATCAGACTTTGGTTGGATATGCAGATAGAAACAAAATTGGTCAACTGGATTGCTGCAGGGCTATTCGAAAGAACAGTGTCGCTTCGATGTGGTGAATAGGCCATCGAACCTTAACGCATCCTAATGGGTCTACCCCAGGGATCACTGCTGTCGCCTGTACTCTTCAGTGTGTACACAGCAGCAGTCACGAGTGCACAAAGTGTAGGCCTAGGCAGAACAATGTTGTATGCAAATGATATTCTTGTTTACTGTCGAGGTAAAAACAGGCAGGAAATTACAACCTCGCTACAACACGAACTAGACAGGTTTAGTGAGTGGTGCCAGGAATCAAGAGCTCAGGTGAACCCATTCAAAGCCTTCTTGACATGGCTCTCTCTGAATACCCACATTGTTAGTAAACCAACGCCAGTCATAAGCATATGTGGTGTGGACATCGAGAGAACGGACACCATGAAATACTGGGCATGACATTTGACAGATGCTTGTCATACAAATTCCACATAGACAACGTCATAATTAGAGCCAGGAAATGTCTGACAGCACTCAAGGTGCTAGCAGCAGCTGATATTGAACAACGCCTACTTTTCCTCCTCTATCAAGGGCTTGTATTAAGCGTCACTGACTATGGTCTTGGCCTCCTCACTGTCAGCAAAACCCAGACAGAAAGACTGGACCGAGTACAAATTGAGGCCATGAGACTCGTACTCGGCTGCACAAAAGACACCTCCTGCAACGCCGTGCGTTATGTCCTGGGTTTGCCGACAATGACTAGCAGATACAAAAAGGCACAAGTCAAGGCATACATGAGGGTATCGGCAGATGTTAACCACCTACTGCACAAAGCTATACACGACACAGAAGGAACCCGTCTCAAAAGAGGCCGCTCTTGGATGGCAAAGGCTGAGGATTTAATCCAGCAGGTATGTGACCTAGATGGAATCAGTGACGGAAAAAATGGACGAACACACCAGTAGACATACATTGCATCTCTAAGGTTGTCATCACACTCGGAAGGTACTGCCAGGATCAAATTCCTGCAGCCGTAGACACAGGAGTAAGGGAACTGATAGATTAGCATTCAGACCCAGAAGATATCATCATCTACACAGATGGATCTGTCAAGCGCATATCAAGGTCAGCATGGGCATACACAGCGCAAAGAAGGGAGAAAACAACACAGGAGGACAGCAGCGCTTACCAGACAACCACATCAAGCATGAGCATGGAAGTAGGCGCTGCTTCTAGAGTTTTAGCATGGGTGTCAGAGCAAACTGCCACACAGGCAGTTATTGTATCAGACTTCATGAAAATGCTTCAGAAGATAGCAACAGGTATGCGCCCTGAATGGGTAGAAAGCATTTGAAAATCGAACTTAATTTCCGTAACCTGGATCTACACACTGGGTCATGCGGGCGTAAAGGAAAATGAGTGAGCGGACCAGCTGGCAAGCGCTGCACTAAGGATTGCGGGAAAAAGCGTGGACAGAGCAGATATCGTCAACGCTGTATGTACTGGGCTAGTGGATAATGAGGAATCCCCAACACTGGCACGTCTGCGTGACATGGGAGTAAAGCATGGTGAAGCACGTC